AAAGACTTTTGCCTCTATAGGCAAATATCTTGCCTCTATAGGCTCTGCTTACAAAAAACAAAAAAACTCCCCAGAATCACAGATGCACTGGCACTAAGAAAAAAAACTACAACAAAAATCACCATCAAGTGATTTCATTCTGAAAACAAGAGGGAACACTTGAATTCCTTCCCCAGGTATCCCATGCTCTTTTGCTCAAAAAGAGCTTGAAAACACTCTGAAAACAAGAGGGAACACTTGAATTCCTTCCCCAGGTATCCCATGCTCTTTTGCTCAAAAAGAGCTTGAAAAAATTAAAAAGAGAAACAAACTGCAGTGTCTGATAGCTGATTGCCAAGTCTTAGGCAGGCAAAAGCAGGCACACACAGACACCTGTTACTTTCCAGGACACAAGAATTAAACCTTCACCTTAAAAAAGTGATTGTTATTAACAAACAAAAGATATACTTGATAAAGCATACTTGGTTGCTAGGTGTACAGAGCAATTAAGTAAAACAAATTAAAGCACAGAGAAAATCTCTGGGAACAACTCTTTGATAGTGAATGGGGGAGGGAAGGCGTGGATTCACACAGAGAAGGTTAACCCAAACAACCAAAATAAAGAACAATATCCTGATTGTCAGGGCTCATCGAGTGGCGGTGAGCCCCGCTCACCAGCCGTGCGGTTCTGCACTCTACGCATGAGCAGATCGCTCTGCGCTGGCTCTTCCAGGGTGTAATCTACTCACCACGGGCGAGTAGATTACATTGTTTGTCAAGCCCTGCTGATTGTGACTAGATATACTTTTCCCTCTACTCATGATCCATGCTGATCTGTACTTCAAGGCCTAGTTCACTCCCATGTCCAATATTCCTTATAGGCATGGCAGTTCTGAACCCTGCATCTGCTCTCTTTAGCTCTTTTTTTAGAAATCCCCCCAAAGGAAGAGCAGACCATGTATTTATATCCAATTCAAATTTCAGCACCATATCCCCATTGGTTCTTCTGGGTTCCTGCCAACACCCTTGGTATCTTCCTGAGCTTAACCCCATAATCACAGGGTGCTGGCCAGCACTCCTCCTACGCATCACAGGCACAAACAGGATTAATGGTGTAAAATACGACATGGTGCTAAACACAGGCTGGAAGCACATTCCAGAGAGATCATAACAGAGTACCTCATGAAGAAACATCTTGGTACCAACATACTCCTCCCCTCTTCCCCACTAACAGACTTACTGACCCAGGTTCAGGACAGGTTATCATCATTGGACAGAGCAAGATACCTGCTAGGACACCACACTGGTGACCTCTGACCCACAGGATCCACATCACATCATTGAAATATATCATCAATAGCAGAAGCTGAATTCTGCTTCCTGACAGTCAAAGCTAATAGGGGTGAGTGAACCTCAGAAAGTTTGGATGGTTAGGAAAACAGTCCAGACTTTCTAAATCTTCAGAACAGGCAATCCCACAAGAACAGGTCTCCCATAAGGCTCTAGCTCTCCCGTGTCTGTGCCAAGATGGCCATATCAATAGTCTTAGGCTATGTCTACATTGTGCATTCTGGCACAAGAAAATATGCAAATGAGGCACAGCGATAAATATTGCCGTGCCTCATTTGCATACCTAATGAACCGTCATTTTGTGCAAAAACCCTCTCTTGTGCAAGAGCCATTATGCTGCTTATTTTCAGGCAGAATGGCTCTTGCAGAAGAGAAGTTTTTTGCACAAGAAGGAGCAGTATAGACTGTTCCTTCTTGCGCAAAAGCCCCTTGCGCAAAAATGGTGGTGCATTAGATATGCAAATGAGGCACAGCGATATTCATCACCACCCCTCATTTGTATATCTTCTTGCACAAGACGGCGCAATGTAGATGTAGCCACAATGTTTTAGCATTTACTAGTTTTCCCTGGAAACTGGAAATAGAAATAAATATTTTTGAGCCACAGTGAAGCTAACTGAAGTCTAGAAATGCCCAAAGGTTTGTATATGGGTGCACATGGGAGGTTGTGTGTTGCACAGAGTTCTTTAATCTGGACAGCGCACACGCTCAGCTACTCACAGCCAGTCTTCCAATGCATTTTCTCACCAAGATGTTGAACACAGCATTTGCCCATATCAGGCCCTCCATCACCTTCTTTACACACTCCAAGGTCCCCAACAAAGTCAGTGAGATATGAAATTTGTGAGAGTGCAAAGGATATTAAATCACGCTTCTGGTTTATATCTGAAGTAACAACTGCATGCAGTTACCTCCCACACATTTCTTCCAATGTGCCTCAATCTGGAATTGGAGAGATCTGAATGAAAAGACAGAGGCTAGATCAGTCTCCAGGCCAATTTAACCTAAGGCCTCTCTGTTGGACTTCTAACAAAGCTGCTAAGTAGCATCAGTTGTGATAGTGGATCGACTGATTATTGTAAAAAAAAAAATCATCATTAATATTGATTTCCACAGATGCATGCAGAACTTTAGAAATAATAAGAAAAGGATTCTAGAACTAATTTGATGATGAAAACACTTGTCCCCTAGAAACTGGAATGAAAAAAACAACAAATTTCTGAGAGGCCGTCGGACATATGGCAGCATCTTTTCATCATTACTGAGCTCAGTCGGAGTCAAACTGATAATTTAGAGAGAAAAGACTTCCTACAGCATGAGAAATCCTCAGAGCCATCTAGTCCTCAGTTGTTATAATGCCAGTTGTTATAGTCCCCTCCAGACTGCATGATTTAAAAACAAACAAAAAAAAACAAAAAAACAGCTGGTTCAAAATACCGTTCAGAAGAGGCACAAAAATATATTCTAAACACTACCAGGAGTAGAACTGGCATCAGACTCTGGTTAAGAAGAGAGAATGGAAAAAATAGGGGGCAAGCTACCACACTAAGGTAAGAAGGGAATTCAAAGGAAACAGGAGGAGCACCATATAGGAAAATGCAAAGTCAAGAGGAAGGAGGATATTAAGGCTGTTTTGTTTTCACTCAGCACGTGGCAAAACCCTACTGCAGTAAAGTTCAGATTTACCATAAGGGGAAACAACACTGCCAAGAAAAATTAACAAGATACCCTTTTTACAGTAGATGTGGGCTGAGGAGCTCAGGTTTTGGTTTTGACAAACCTCATCAGAAGGGTTTTGGTTTTCTGAAATTAAAACCAGCATTGGTTTGGACATGGTTTGCATTTTATCCCAGCTACCAAAGGCAGAATGTGGATTGGGGGGAAACTGTTTGGTCATGTTCACCTTTGTAGTGGGCAAAATAGAGCCATTTGTTAAAGATCAGCTGCATGGCTTGGGTTTTGCAAAACCAGAAGCAACTTGAATACAAGTTCTGTTTTACCTGAACTACCAAAGATTGAGTGAGAGAGGTGGATGATTCTGAGAAGTTTTTGACTATTCTGAATTGTTGTGGGCTTGATTTTCTACTACCTTACAATTTGTGTAACTATTTAAACTTGTACAAGTTGTTAGGAAGTGAAGAACCAAACCCTATGCTTCAAAAGTTTATGAAAATGTGCAGCACATTTAAAAATGTAGTTGAAGCACTCCTAGATTTCTGAATTTTGAGAAAGCCATTCTATGTTATGTTAAGGTTTGGAAACGCTAATCCAAACACATCTCAAGAATACTGATAGACATTCAAAGTTATGTGGGCTAAACTTCAATGAAAGTGGGGAATGTAGCTGCTGACTTTTATTTAATATTGCTAAAATTAAGTTCCTTTATGAAACAGTAGTAGACTGCACCCCAAATGCAGGCATATATCACCACTCCACCCAAAAAAACAATGGCACATGCAAGGTTGCTCAGGAATTTGATCTAAGTAGTCCGAGGGGCTTGGTTGGGTGTTGTATTAGCAGATGCATATCAGTGAGGGAAAAGCAGAAGAAACCCCACACATAGACACAGGAGAGCAGAAAGCCAGACAAGCAACTGAGAGAGCGTTCTTGAGAAAGGCCTAGCCAGAGGGAGCTTCTGGAAGCAACTTGGAGCTATGTGCAGAGAAAATATCTCCTCTTGGTTGATTTCTTATGTGTTCAAGAAACAGGATTTTACACTTTGGAAATAATCAGGATTGCATCAAAGACACTTGACTCCATCATCAATTTTTCCTCATAATGGAAACAATTGACAGGGCCCCAAACTTTGGCCACCTACTTAGGACAACAAGGACAACAATATGTTTCCAATCTCACCTGCCTTTTCTCTTAAGGAACATCCTAATTCATAGCCACAGTTCAATACTTACACCAGTGCTACAGTTGGACAGCTAGAAAATAGATATGAATGGCATTTTGCAAATCAAGTTAACAATGTCAGTCTCATGTTCCACCAAGCACGCACCATTTCATTCCCACACTGGCAACAGCATGATGGTCCCTACAAAATTCATATTTTCTGAAAAGTAATTAGCAATTTATGGTTAAGCAGTCTGATTTATAATGGAGCTGCCCAGCAGGTTGGAAGGTTGCTTTTTAAGGAACAGAGAAATGGACACACATCTGAGCATACAACCTCTTGAACATGGATGCTCAACTGTGGCACATGGGCAATTTCAAAAACTCCAAGTTCAGAGCATTTGGTTTAGCCTTTGAGTGACATGTTCCTGATTCAAGAAGGCAACGGCCTGACTGCTGGAAAGGTTTACTTTAATTGGGTCTCAGCTGGATTTAGTGGCAAAATTCAGAGACTGACCCTAACAAGGTGTAAGATACATGTCAGTATGTGCATGAATATATGGGAGTATCAGTGGACCTAAAATAATCTAATGAAGTAACTGACATGATGAGGGAATCAGAAGAACCTTTGAATTATGCTACCTTATATTGCCTTGAATTGCTTTCTGAATTTTGCCCATGGTAACCGAGGCATCTTGGATTTGCTCTTTAAAGAATTATCACTTTTCAGTTTCAGTACAGTCAAATATCAATTTTAACATGACAGAACAGGGTTAGGCTGGGGTTGTGCAGTAGAAAGAAATTTCATAGTAGCAGTTACTTTTCACCATTTGTTTCTTGGCATTAATATGAACAGAAGACAGTGGATTAGCATACACATTTCAGAACATGGGACAACAATGATTGTTTTAAAAGGCAATTAATCATGATGCAGAAAGTATATGACAGATGAGTAAGCAAACACATATGGTGAATAAAATCCTCACATGTTCCAATATTCTACCTGATGGGGGTCCAGATTTTGGCTTTGCAATTTGGAGAAAAGAAGATGGCATACATGCATTTGAATCATGTTTTGAATATTTGAATAAATATTATCTAGAATTATATTTGACAGTTTAATTCCTCTGTTGGGTCCCCATCAGTACTAGCTTCCATGCCAGAATAAACACAGAGTTCACAGAATTGTGGTGCAAAAGAATGAGAAGCAGTCCACAGAACAGAATACAGCACCACTTTCTGCAGTCAGCAGAAGCATATGAAGTTGCCCCACCAATCTGAAAGATGTGCAAAAGTGTTACCCCTGAGAGCATTCTGCACCAAACAAAAATTCTATGCAAAATACTTTAAAATTCTGCAGATTTCATCAAATAAATATGAAGGCTCCAGCATGGCATTGGAGCTCACAGAGCACTGGCTGCACAGAGGTAGAAGATTACTCGGCAGCTCTCCCTTGGGACACAGACTCATCAGTGAGACTGCACCCAATCAAGACACAGTAGAAAGACTGGGCCAGCCTCAGAAACATGCAGAGGTTCTGAGCATGGATGGTGAGGCTTGGCAGGAAGGTCTCCATGTGAGGGGCTTGTGCAGATGGGGGAGCAACTCCTTGTACAGGGATCCCTCCCCCTACAGCTGAGGAGTTGTAGGTGCAAGAAGTTGGGGTGGGAGATTCTGCAGAGCTTACTATAGCCTGGGGAGAAATCCAGGGATGGATCTGACTGGCCGTGGACAGCATTCCCTTTAAGCTGGGCGACAGCACCGCTTCACAGCTGATTGATCAGCCCTGCCCATTCAGAGGCTCTCTGCAAGGAGCTGACTGACTGGCGGGGCTGACTAATCAATTGTGAACCTGTGCTGCCACCCAGCTTAGAGGGAACACTGGCCATGGATGCCATCGGGGGGACAAAGCTGTCCCATCCTCTCCAGCCCAGCAAGAACCAGCTGCTGAGACTGACATGGGATAGGAGCCGTCAGCCACGTCATGCCGAGTCCCACCCCCTGCTCCACAGTGCCTTGGGCATCTGAAACATACTGCTGGGGAGCATTGCATGATTACTCTTGTGGCTTCCTATAACAGGGTTCAGGCACAGGCCCCCTCCACCTTTAGCCTATTTAGTGCCCACAAACTAGTCAGACACCTTTCTTTTGGTGCAGTCTCCTGTGCCCTTTATTGCTAGCAGAGCCGTCCCAGCCATAAGGTGGTTCAGGGTGGCCCTCCCAGCCCACTACGACTAGCTACTACATGGCAGCAAGGAGCAGAGTGCCCTGATCCCAGTTTTCCTGCTGGAACTGGTGTGACAGAGCTCTGGCTCAGGCTTCCTACACAGTAACCTGTCACACTTCCCTTTTCCCATCAGAAAGTCATTTTTTTCCTGCATGGCTGCAAAAAAATCTGTGGGGGGCATACATTCTGGAGTAGGACATAGGAAGTTCTATAGCAGGGATGGGGAACCTAAGGCCCAAGGGCCAGATGCAGCCCCTAGCTTGCCTGGATCTAACCCTTGAGGCTCAGGGCTCCCCCCTGCTTTGGGGAGCCCATGCTGGTGAGGGGATGGTTTTTTCGTTTGTTTGTTTCTCACTTGCTGCAGCCCAGGATTGATTTTTTGTGGGTAATTGGCCCCAATTCATAAAAGGTTCTCCGCCCCCGTTCTATAGTAAAGCTTTTTTTCTATGGCAAATCTTTTTGCTCACTTCTCCTTTGTACAGGTTAAAGGTATAGTAACATTATAGAAAAAGTAAAAACTTCTTGCGCTAAAATAATCTTTCAAAAATCTTTCAAAAATCTGGGCAGATTTAGGGTGGGTTGTACTCAAAGCTCGGAATATGACTAATGTTGATGTTTGAATGGCACTTGAGGATCAAAGGTGGCTTTGTCCAATCCTGATTTCTGATTTTCCATTGGGATCTTATCTTACTAGATTGACAGCTAGTAGCAGACTGGGTCAATGCTGTCACTACAAATATTATCTACAGATAGTGCACAGAGGAAAACCTCTTTATACAGTTCTACAACCACTAGCATTTGAATAGTGTGGCAGAACCTCAGCACCAACAGCAAGTTTGTACAGAATACAAATATCTGAAAAGGCTTTTTGTCTATTTGTATTTAATGTTTTCAAAACTATTGAGGACTCTTACATACCATGAACAAGTGCAAGTTTCTAAAGCGGACAACTTAAAAAGGATACAGTTGTAACTATGTCACTTTTTTTTCAGTTCAGGAAATATCTAGCTCGTATTCCTAAAATGGATCCATAACATTAAGCAATTGCCAACTTAGGTATATGTGGCAGAAAGGACAACACTATAATTTTTCTCATTGCTGGATTTTGAGAATATTGCTTCTAAGATATTTCTCACAGAGGTTGTGATTGTGTACCTTTCCACCTTACCTGCTTTAATAACAACAACTGAGAAGCTGTATTTCTTCAAAAGGTTAAAGAACTTCTATCATAGTCCCCTTCTGTTAACTGCACCTTCTCTGGGATATTTCAGGGGAAGCAGCATTTAAAGTCAACAGCTACAGTTGTTTATGTATGTATAAGGAGGGAGAGGTTTTGGCTTTATGTTTCAGGGTTCTTTGTGTGTATTAGCTTGGCTAGAGCTGTGGAAAAGTAAAGGCAGTACTAATACATTCCTGGAACTATTACAAGTACTGTTGCTATTAGTCATCTGGGACAAACAGCTGAGGAGTCATAGGGTAGGGTTT